CAGCGATACCTGCAAGAGTTGTGAACAATAGCAATGGCACTGCTCATTACGACGTATATCAGCCACCGCAACAAAGCAGGTCCGTTAGTCAGCGTCATGCTTCTTGTACTTTGTGCTCAACAATCCTAATTTAGATTGGCTTCTTTTGCACAGTCAGTTGCTGTGATTGGATGTGTGTCTTACGCTGGCTACCGTTTTCTACGTTCTTTTGTTTTACCTCGGTTCTTTGATATTCCTGATCCAGCAACTGAGGAAGTGCGGCAGCTTCAGGTCAGCTATCCTTTCTATTGTTTGTTTACTTCGAATGTTTTTTGTTTATGTTAGCTCTAACGTTGTATGAAATCTATAGACCAAAGACATAGCGACGATAATGTGTGAAAAAATCTCTAGCGCAGCATTCTAGGGACAAGTTAATGAACTACAAAATTCAATCAAGTTCGTCTTGGATAGTGTCTCCCAAACTACATCAATGTTAGCGGCACAACAACAAGAGATCAGCAAAGCCTTACTGTCTGTCAGTCAACGGGACACCGACATCAGTAAAGTGGAGGTAAAACTGCCATTATATTCGCATTCTGCCATTCTTTTCTAGAGTCTAACATTCGATTGTAGACTGGTATATCTACCATAAAGAGCTTGCTGCTAAGCCATAACAATTTTGCGCCTATTCTCGCTCCGACAGCTACGTCTGCCAAGCTACCAAGCTGGCAACAAGTATGTAAAGTATCTCTTCAACTTACTGCAAGCGTTGAATGCTGTTGTGTTTCTTTAGGCGGAGTCATCGTCCTCGGCTCCTGCTACAACCTCAGGTTACACGACACCTCCCGCAAACTTCAGAGAGAATTTGGACGAACCTGAAAGCGATGAAGTTCTTGATCACGATCAAGTCTGAATTCTGAACTTTGCTACAACTCGCTAAGCAACTTCTTGTGTGATTTCCATGTTCCAGGGTTGAATGCTCACATGTTCACTTATTGTCTGTGTTTCTTGCACGTTCCATCATTACTTCACTTATGGTTTGTTTCTCTTGCCTATGGTTGTGCCATCATTGCTCATATACACCAGAGATATAAATAAATTCAGTTGTTTGTTGTGATGCTCTCAATGGTTAAATTCCTATCCACTTTCGTTTAAACAGTTATTGAAATGCCCGCACTCAGGATCTGCCATTCGACGCCTTCTACCTCTTGCGAACTCTTCTAT